TGTCCTCAATTTTTATTCCCCTTTTATTTTTTTTTTTTGTAGGATTTTCGATAATGACAAAAAAATATATATATTATTTCGTTATTTCATTTTAAAACGAACGTTTCTATGTAGTCGTAGGTTTTTCATTTATTCTTTGATTTGGATAATTAATTTTATTTATTTTTATCTCGTATAATTTTATGGTAATTTATTTTTATTATATATATGTATATATATATATATATATTTTTTTTTTAATTTAATTTAAATATTTTTGTGATAGTTTATTAATTAATTATATTTTATATAATTAATTTATTATATTATTATTTATGTTACTTTATTTTACTTATTTATGTGTTAAGTTAAATATAATATATTATATATATTATTAATAATTTAATATAAATATAATACAAAAAATAAAAAAAAAATATATATAATATAATATATTATATTAATTAGTATTTAATAAATTATAAATAATTTATAATAATAAATTATTATATTTATTAAATATTAATTAATATAATATATAATATGTATAAAATATATTATTAAGGAATTTTCTTCTAATTTAATATTATTAATTTTTAATATTTATTTAATAATAAACAAAAAATAATAAATAATTACAATAATTATTAATTTTATACGAATATTTATATTAATAAATTGTATTAGTATCTAATTAACTAATTGAATTTGGTAATTAATATTTTGATTTTTACTTTTGAAAGAATTTAACTAAACCACGTTACAAGATCAACGATTTTAATTATCTTACCAGTTCTCAAAAAAATGAACAGAAATTTTCTTTCGTACTTACCACCCCTTCCCCTCAACTATTTTGTCCAGTTCATACTTTCTTTTTCTTTTCTTTCTTTCTTTTATTCAGAATTCTTTTTATTACGTCAAATAAAGATGCTCTAACGTTTTAGTAGGCGAGTAGTCAACGGATAGTCAAGGAAATATTAATAACCGACATAAATTTTAATGTCTGCCCAAGATACCTCCAGCAAGAAGAGAATTACAACAACAACAACTACTACTACTACTATTACTATTACTATTACTATTACTATTACTATTATTACTATTACAACGAAACAAATTCAGTCTCGACGAAACATTTACTCTGTGAAATCGTACTTAAGATATAAATTTTACGTTACGTAACGGCAATGGTGTTGGTAGTGGTTAGTAGTGGTGGTGCAAACCGCTTGGTATGCAAATTTATTCGAAAATTCGTTCGTTGCTAAAACCGACAGACCGACCGACCGACAGATTTTCTTTAACGTTTTACAAAAGGTACAAGCGGAAAAAGTTCAAAAGCACCTTAAAAGAGACCACCGTACAAACTAAAAAGCAACAAACGATCAAACAACGAATATACCATCATACCATAACCACATACTCCCATCGTCATCTTTTTCTAAACCTCAGCTACCAAGTTTAACCATTATTGAATATTATTTAAATAAAATTTGAAACGAGGGTTGACGATACAAAATATTCATTGCTTTTTTTCTTTTTATCATTGAAAAATGGGTGATGGTTTAAGGATCGAAAAAATTAAACATCTTTTGTTATTCATTAAAATAATAATTAAATTTAATCAATTTAATTATAAAATATAAAATAAAAATAAAATAAAACTATAGTAATTAATTTTAATATTTTACAATTAAATTAAATTTTGTAAATTAAATATATTTTATCCTCCCTCCCCCCATTTACGAATAATCCATGGGGAATTTAGTAGAAATATAATAATCGTGATTTATTTTGTCGAGTATATTCGTTTGAATAAAATTCGAATGATAAAAAGATTCCTTTCCGTTTTATAGTCGTGTTTCTATATTTGAGAGTTAACATTACTACCACCACTAAATCACCACCACCACCACCACATCATCACCAACCACCCTGTCTATTCGACCTTTGTTTTTCCTTGAAAGCGAAGTAAAGAATGAACAAAGAGAAAAGTACGCGTGAGATAGACTTCTGAAGAGATTTATTCGCGGTATATTTAACCCTTCCACGATTTCACGAGTACTCACAATTCTTTATAGAAT